CCCCACACACACACATATATATATATGTGTACACGAAAACCAAGTACACGGTCTAATCACATGCACGCTTACACTTGGTCTGTCGTGCTACTCGCGCTATTCGTGATCCCGTTTGGAGCTATCTGCAGGCTGGCTACATCATTAGTTAATTCGTCCATGCTGGCAAAGATACTTCTTAATTGTATCTCTATACTTGATATTAACGAACCTTTCGTTTTGTTTTGTAATACCTAAAAACAAAAGTCGTTTGGAATTGTGCGATGTAATACGAAACTGACAAATGGTTATAAAACTATTCTGATACAATAGTGTGAAGCTTACCCCAATTATCTACACTATCTAAGCTTACACAAGGCTGGTTCTATGTAGTGATAAATGTGTATTGTAAGTCTCGAGAGTATATATATATATATTGTTTGTTTTTAGAAGGCTGTATATATATATAATAATCGTATACTTTGCGTACGCTCAGGTAATAAAAAATAAAAAGGGTTCATCAAAAGAACAAAAAGTCCGATGAATCGATAAAGACACATTTTCCGCCATATTATACCGGTACGGCGGTATTTACTTATTACATACATTTGGGTATAGCGAACATTATTATTATGACTCATACCCACAAGAAATAAAGACAGGCCAAACATGCTTCAAAATATGGTGACGTCACTACGTTTTTAAGGGCTTAGAAGTTAGGATAAGTTAGGTATTTACCTGTTTTTGGTACAGGCTGTAGTAGATGGCAGACTTTTTAAACCCCAGTAAATTTACAGTTTTAAATATCGGAGCTGATTCTAAGTTATTCAACAAGGACGTCTCTTTGATTTCAGACCAATCGGGTGATACAGTACTCGAGATAGAATTTGTATATACCAATATTGCTATCTACGGGTACCCCTTGGTAAAAGAGTGACTAACAAATCCGAACTTCTTAAGCACCCAACTGATTTGGCTGAAACTAAAGCTCTGAATCTTAAAAGCTATTATTATTGGAGGCGAGTACAAAAAATTATTATTTTTAAATTAATCGAATTTGTTTGAGAAGTTGATAGTACAAACCCTAAACCCTAAAAAACTAGCCCCCAGAATTATATACCTATAATCCGTGTCAGGCTTGTGATTATTTCATTAGGCTATGGGCCTAACTGCACACTTGACACTACTGATACGTACGGACGTAACCTACGTTGGTATTTTAAAGTTGCATGATGACTATGTAATATATTTAAAAAAAGTATATACAAATATCAATATATATGCCGTATGAATATACTTTTATAGATGTGAATTTAGCGATACATGAATGATGGAAAGCGATAAACCCTCGGCCGTATTCTGTAATAGCTTGACAAGCATAAACAGCAAATCCAAACTAGTCGATATAATAGCTGTCCAAGCAAATGTGTAGGTGATAAAAACATAGCCGTTCGCACACCTTACGCGCTCACCTTTTTACTTGCTCTGTGGTACCGTCATGCATAACTTTATGAATGGAATACCATTTAAACACGATCATAACCTACATATGTACAGAACAACTATGTTGCCGTTCTGTATATTTTTACGGTCCTACTTATAAAGACCACGATATATGGTGTTATCCCAGATATGTAGATTTCTACAAAACAAGACATAAGTTTGCGCAACATGACCCTGGTTTTCGCAACTCGATAAATGCTTCGCGCAATTATCTATATATAT